CCCGGGTGCACGCGTGGCAGAGGTCCCTTGCTGCCCAGGGGACGCGGTGCTGCCACGGGGTGGCGGCCAGCCTGAGCACGGGGCCGGTGGCCTCTGCGCCCCTGAGAGGCCTGGCGAGGAGCGCGTGCCGCTGGAGGAAGCCGGGAGAGACGCGAGCTCGGGGCCGGACGCCCCGCGGGAAGAGGTGAGCAGAGAAGACAGGCCCCTTCCTCCAAAGCCAGGCCCGACCCCCAGAGAGGTGGGCCCCTCCCGCGCCCCTGGCTGGGACCCCGCAAGCCCCGCACAGGGAAGGTGTGGACACGGCCCGAGAGAACCTCGGGTCGGACTCAGCCTGGTGGCTCTACAATCGTGAGAACTGCTCCACGGACACCGCGGAAGTTTGTGACTTAGCTCTTTAAAATTGTGTACACCCAAGTAGACCCAGTAGAGTTAAAAAAAAAATAATAACAGCAACATGTACCCTCGGTCTTGAGGATAGCACTGGCGGGCAGCTATTAAGGAAACATCTAAAAGTCGACTTGGGGACAGTCCGTGGGAGGTAGGTCCCCTTGAAGGACCTGTAAGAGCTCAAACTGGAACGCTCTGGTGGCCAGCGGCTGTGCCACACCCGCCTGAGGCTCCAGCAGCCTCATTAAGACTTACGAGCAGCTGCTGAGACAGCTGGGAAAAAGGGGACCAAGAAAATGACCCCAACTGAGGAAAATGGCTGGAAGAAAAAAAAATCAAAACGGTGATCATAGAAATGCAGAAACTTTCTACTAAGTAATAAATTGTTTTTTAACAGTATAAATCCAAAAAAATCCAACTTTATTAGAGACAGTTGGCAAACCGCCATCCATCCCGTGACGGTATCAGACCAGCCTTTGATAACCTGTGTGGTCAAGTTAGGCAAGGATGTGAGGAGACTTCATTTTAAAATACGGGCCCCTCCCCATAACATTTGTCCTGAAATGTTTGTTTCTTTCTCTTCAGTTGGTGCAAAAGAGACTAGTCTGCAGAAGAAATCCACACGGGATCTTTGAGTATTTGCAGCTCAGCCTGGAAGAGGTACGTTCCCCGCAGTCAGGTAGCTGAGACTAACTCAAGGCGTGCTCCCGAGCGTAGTGCAGAAACTGGCGCTCGGAACTGGAGCTGTCACTCGGAGTTGACCTTGCCCTGGGCAGGCCTGCCTGGAGCTCGCCCCTCGGCCTCAGGTCTCAGTGCTGAGCGGGGCACTTGGGGGCCTTCCCTCTGTCATTTCTCAGGGGCTTCAGGATTGTCCAGGTTCCTCTTTTCACATCAGAACTTCAGATTGGCTGAATGTTACGTTGCTAATTTTCACCAGCTTTTGATAGACCGCAGTTAAGCCAGGTCATGACGGCCGGGTAGGTCGTGGACGCAGGTGTCCCCTTCCGCACGACTACCACCCACATGCCCTTTACTTAGTGCATCGCTGACTTCAAAAGTGGCGTTCTGACACTGTAGCCTCCCTCTGATTTGGGGCTCCTCCCTCCTGGCCACTTGACAGCCAGTCCCGCCTCTCTGCTAGTGTCTGTGCCCAGCCCCAGCCACGCCTGCCCCCGGCACTGCACCTGCTCTGGAGGCGCAGCCCTGTGGCCGTGTCCAGAGGAGTGTCCGCCTGTCCTCCTCGCCCAGTCGGTGCCGCCTCTCCGGCAGAGGCCCCAGGGCACAGCAGGACCTTCCAGAGCAGGAGAGGGTATTTTGAATAATTCACTTCCTCTCCCCATTCTACAAACAGCTGAGTCTTCTGTGGGAGACCGTAGCTACTTGCGACACTTAAACTAATTAAGGTTAAGCGCGATACAAAATGCCACCTCAGTTGGCGGCCACATTTCAGACGCCGGGCAGCGCATGGAGAACGTTCCCATCCTCGCTGGGGCTCCCTGGCCAGCAGTGTGGGGCCAGCTGGGGGCTCACGTGGCCTAGGCTGTCATCGGATGCCTCCGCCCTGTGGGGTCAGCGCCGGGCAGAGTTGGGGCCTGTTCTTGTCACCGTCTTAATGCCAAGTCACAGCTTGGTAGCCCTGGGCCACCTCCCCTTGAGTCACAGAAGTCTTCCCTGTACTCACAGCTTCTTACTGATTTTAAACCAGCCGGTGAGGCTCCTCTTTATCTCTTAGATTTTTTTTGTATCCTTGAAATTTGAATGAATCATTTATGTTTAATCATTGTGAAGACACCACCAATATCATTAGAATATCATTTATCAAAGAATATCATTTGTATTATTATAGACCATCATTTATATTATCAAATGATATCAAATTTTTATTGTTTATATTATTAAAATATCGATTATCCTTTATATTATCTTTTATCATACCATTTATAATATTTATAATTCTATAGCAAATGAAGTCATCGTTTAGATGATAATATATTGGGTTGTCAGAAAAGTCATAATGCATTTCTTTGAAAAACAGAAAGATGATGTCATGACTTTTCTGACAATCCACTAAGTACATTGATTTGTATTTGAGGCACAGGGAAATTAGCCTGTAAGATACTTTCTCAGGAATGTGGGGCAGCTGTTCATGGGTATTTTCTGCTCCTGCTCTTTCCAGGCCTTCTTCCTGGTGTATGCCCTGGGGTGTCTGAGTATTTACTGTGAGAAGGTAAGTTTGTGATTTCGCTGCAATCCACGAAAAACATTCCTGCTGTTTGAAGCCAGTTGTCGTTACTTACATATTGCTTTGATACAAGTGCATGCACTTTCTTTTTTTTTTTTTAGATTTATTTATTTATTCATATAGAACTGGGGTGCAGGAGGTGAGAGGATTCACCAGAGACAGAGCCGGGAGCAAAACAGGCAGACTGACAAAGTCCACTGCTGAGGGGAGGAGCGGGCGGGTCAGGAGCTGTCTGCCGCGCCATGTGGGTCACCTCGGGGGCAGGCAGGGATCGAACTCTCACTGAAGCAGCTTCAGATCACTTGCAGTGCTGCGCTTTAACCTGCGGCACCACCAGGGAGGGTCCAGATGCACGTACTTTCACGCTGTAAAATAAGAACAGAATTTTTCTCGAAGCTTCTGCCTTGGGTCCTGAATTGCTGCTGCTCAGGTGCAAGTCAGTTTTGACCCTTTTGGAGGGAATTCCATTCCCGATCTGAGGAGAGAGCAAGCCTCTTCTCTAATGATCATAAAATCTGTATTGCCACAGGACTAAAAGCGAAACAAAATGAAAACGACCAGCCCTGTAGTTCAGGCCTCTCACGGTCCTTCTAGCCTCAGCCTGCTGCTCAGGCTTCTCCTGGTGCCCTCAAGCCTCAGTGGAGGTGAGCGGCTCAGCTCTCCACGGCCCATCTGCTTAGAATCCGGGCCTGAGCCACGTCCGGCAGCTCGAAAGCCCGGGGGTCTTGCCCGGAAGCTGCTGCCCTTTGGGAAGGCGCCCCAGAGATGCCGACACCCTCACTGGCCACCTCTGAGGAGCCAGGGCCGGGCGCTCACAGGAGGGGGCCTCTTGGTGTCCACGTTTGGTACTTTCTGAATTTTCAACCAGATGAATGTAATACCTGTGCAGAGCAATTCAAATACAATTAAAACTACAAACAGAAAGGTAAGCAGACCATAAACAGAACGAGAGGGTCTGTTTTATTCTGCTCTTAGGAGCACATCGTGTCATCGGCCGTCAGATGCAAACTGTGTACATCTTTCTCCTGAGTCTTTAAGTGGTTTGGAAACAGTTGTCTGGCTGGTGGGTGAATCATCACTTCCCCGGATGGCTTTCGTGGCCACCCTGCCTCCGCTCCTGGGCCCTCGCTGCTCTCCCGAGCATCCCAGCTGCTCCTGCAGCCCGAGCGAGCATCTGGACAGGCTGGGCTCCCCGGGGGGGTCGCAGCCCCCCTCCAAGAGTGTGGCTGACTGGGGCTTGAGGCCACACACATGGGCTCTTTCCACCTTAGAAACAACTGGGAAAACACACACATACACAAACCAACCCCCCAAAAAATCCCTTTAACTCATAGCTATGGTATTACATCTTTAGACTGAGCCAAACTGAGCAAATCTCATTGAGTGACTCAACTCTAAATGAACTGAATAACTGATCACTCAGCACTGAGGTACAGCAAGAACCTTTCCAAACACGCCTGGATTTTTTGTGTGCGTATTTACCGTAAGTTTTGGTATGGCTACTCCAGAAAGTTATCTGAACCCAATATTCTCTCTCACCTCAATTCCTGCATGAGCAACAACGTCAGATTATTGCTTTGTGCCTTGAGTCTCTAGTTTCCAGACTAAAGGGCGCTTTTCCTTATTTGTTTTTCTTTCATTAAGCTTTTATGAAATCGTTTGGCTTTTCTGAATATGCCTGATATTTAGTAGTTTTTCATGAGGATCTGTGCAGCAGTCGGAAAAGATTACACGCCAACCTTGATGGACGTGGCCCACGTTTACCTGCAGACACCTAGGGACACGTGGGCCCCAGGGAAACCTGTGTTTGTGCCTGCAGGGAGAGCTAGAGCGAGCGTGAGCCCGGAGCGATGTGTATCTCCCGTGAATCCTGGTGCAGACCTGCCCTGATTGATGCCTGTTGCAGGCGTAATGACCCTTAGTTTTCCCAACATCTTTAGGAACCTCTAACGATTGTGAACCTCTGGAATGTTTTCACCACGATCCAGCCAACGTTCAGGACAACGTACATGGCATACCACTACTTCCGCAGTAAGGGCTGGGTGCCCAAAGTGGGCCTTAAGTACGGCACCGATCTACGTAAGTCCCTCTTGGCTCGGTGGGTTGAGAAGTAGGGCTTGCTCTGACCCCTGGGGTGAAAGTCAAACTGGCTACTTACTTCACTGCCGTTGACGTGTTCTGCGATGATGTCCTCTCCTGCCCGAGACAAGGGCCCTTCTCCTCGGGGCCTCTGCTGCGCTCTGGCAATGCAGGTGACCAGGGAGCTGTAAGAGTCACCCAGCTGCCGCGTGAGCACATGCGAGGTGCCAGTGCGGCCGGTGCTCGTTTCCTCCCACCCCGACAGCCCTCCTCTGGTGGTACCTGTGCGGCCCTCACCTTTCCGATGGGGAGACTGCAGCTTTGAGAGAGCGGCCCTTCCAGGGCTTTGAATTCTGGAGCCCGGTGACTTAGAAACTTCTGGTCCATGTTACTAAGCCCGCTCCCATCTTTAAGTGAGGACTCTGGACCGGGTGAGCACCTCACCTTATCTAGGGTAAGAGGCTGCCTCCCGGGTCTTCTCAGGACTGTTTTTGAGGTTCCCAAGGGGCCTCCTAGGAAGTGCTGGCCCTTGGGACTTGTGGCCCTCTCACACCCTTGAATAACCAAAGAAAGCTGGTTCAGTCTCTGAAATCCTTAAATCCTCTAAGCTTGAGTGTGCTTAACCTGATGTGCTAGGGTCGCGGGAGGGCCCCAGCCCCCTAAAACTTTATGTGTTTGTAGTCAGGTGCATTTTTCTGGGCCTAGAGTCTGTAGTTCCATTGAATAGTCGGAGAGGCTTAGCAGTCTAGAATAAAGGTCAAGGATTGTCCCCTGGGCCCCAGGTAAATGGTCCCTCTGTCTGCTCCTTGCTGGGGCTTCAGGCAGACACCTCACCTGAGGGCTGGGGTTAGCTCCAGACTGGCTTGCGAGGCTTCCAGGTATCAGTATTGGCCCTGGTGACACGGTGTAAGTGGGTGGCCTGCCTCATTTCTCCTCTTTGGCTTCTCACCCTGTCGGCCTCCACGGCTCTGTCAGGAGCGTCCCTGTGTGAAGGCCGGGCAGGTCTCCTCCAGCCGCCTCACTCTGTGGGTGAAACCGGGGTAGAATTTTCCAGTCTGGCTGGGAGGCACTGACCTGGGGCTCCAGGAAGAGACACTCTCGGCTCAAGCCAGCTCTTCCTCTCATCGCCTGTGTGCCCTCAGGCACTGATGCTGCTCATCTCCAGCTTCCGTCCACTTGTGTGACGAGGAGGACAACTTCCTGCAGGACTGTGTCCTTGACTTGACCTCTTTCCCCTGCGCGGCTGTGCAGTGCCTGCTGGCTTTTAACTCTGCGGTCTGTTACGTGGCCAGTGCCTGCTCGCATGCGCGCCGGAACTGCCCGCACAGGCTAAGCCCGGCTCGGTCTCTGGACAGTTGCTCCTGCCGGCAGAGGTGATGGCTCTTGACAAAGCGTCATCATGAAATTCACGTCTCATCAGGAGACGCTTCCCTGGGATAAATCTTGTCAATCATACTTCATTCCAGAAGCAGTAGTTGGAACAAGCAATATGGGGCTCAAATCAAATGCAGCTGTCAAGCTGGCTGGTCCCCCACGGGTGAGACCAGGCTCCAAGCCAAGTGGGAGCCCCTCCACGCTGCCCCACCCAGAGCTCCCCGAGAGCCAGGCGCCTGCTGTGCTATTTTTCTCTTTCTGTCTGATTAATCTTCCCACTCTTGTGAGGAGTGTAGATTCGCCTGCTCTATAGCTGATGAAGTAAAGATCTGGAGGGGCAGGGGAGGTAGCCAAGGGCCTCGGCCGATAGTGCGGGGGCCTGTCTGCACCCCTACACCTGACCAGCATCACTGAAAACTGCAAACCACTGGTCGCGCTTCTGTCCTGCCAACAGTCACTGGTTGATTTGACTTGGTTTGGTCCAAAGGTCCAGATCCTCCTAAGCCTCCTTCCACTCCCAGACTCAGAGTGACGAAGTCTGGTCATGTGGCTTCACAGCTCTCAGCCAAACGCGAAATCGTGAGGCTAGTGGCGTGATGGGAGCTGTGCGAGACCAGCAGAATCACAGCTTCCGGAGTCCAGCGGCTTCGGGTGCCAGAGCCGAGGCCGGCCCCAGCGAGGTGTCCACACAGAGCAGGCTGGCTCTCTCCTAACCCACCTTCTTGTCTTTATTTCCTAATAGAACTTTTAAACTGGTCTTGTTAACATTTGCACCTGTAATCCATGTTAATCCGTGAGTATTTCTGCACACAGCTCCTCAGAACAGGGGTAGTCGCCTACACAGCTATAGAGCCATACAGTAGCTATGCAAAATTACAGTTATTTGAGGGCATCCGCTCAGCTCTCAGTCTATACTTCCATTTTCCAGTTGTCCCTGAGATGCCTTTTGCTTAGCGGTTTGGTTTTTTTCCCGTGGATAAAGCTTCTGGTCGAGTTTCAGGTATCGCCTGCAGTTGTATGTCTCTCTCAGTTTTCCGGGGCTGCCAGACTAAATGACCGCAACGCAGGCGGCCGGAAACCACAGGCACTTACTCCCTCAATTCCAGAGACCAGGCCTAAAATTGAGGTGTGGACGAGCTGAGCTCTCCTCGCGGCTCTGGGGGAGCCCTCCTTGGCTGTGCCAGCTTCCGGGGGGCTGGGTGTACGTTGGTCAGTCACTGCAAGTTCTGCAGAAGCCCTTTTCCCCACGGAGGTCACAGCCATGCACAGCGAGGGGTTCGCCTTCACCCCCCAGCAGCCTCCTCTCACCTACCACGCTGCAATGGTCTGCCTCCCCTGGGCGGTGCTTTCTGAGAGGTCAGTGGCGTAGCCCACATTCTAGGCGAGCGGCATGCTTGCTCACACTGCGATGCCAGTCCACGCTCTGGTGCCCACTGGGGTGTGGGCCCTGCTGCCCGCTGTCGGCGATGCCACGTTTGAGGGCTGAGCCGCGACAGCCACGGTCACATGTGGCGGCCTCTCGTGCTGACCGGTAACCCACAGGGAGAGACCGTGTCTGCTCCCGGGGAATCTCAACGGCTGCCCGAGTGACCCGCTGCGCTCGTCACCACGTTCCCGCTTTCTTTCCTGCGTCGTGTCTCGTCCCTCTGGAACGAGGCCTCGCCTTTATTCTCCCCACTCTTTGAAACTTGATTTTTCAACGCCCACATTGGTCAGACTCCTGGCAGGCCTCTGCAGAGCTGCCGTTCTTCCTCCCGAGTGCACTGTCGCAGGTAGCTGCCGTCACCTTAGGGGGTGTTTTGGAGCGCCTGTGCCAGCTGCTGTCCAGCGCCCCCCCCCTTCGCCATTACCTTGTCATTCAGAAAAAGGAAATTGAGGCAGCGGATTCGTCGTGTGGTCCAAGCCCCGGGCGGGGAGCCTTGAACTCAGGTCTGTCCGGTGCCTGCTCGTGCCCGGCTCGTGCAAGCCACGGTCTGAGCAGCCGTCTGACGCCCCAGCCTGGGGCAGGCTGCTTCAGGCTGCGTGTCCCAGGGGTCCTCAGGATATGGGGGAGGTCTCTGTTCTCTTATGCCTTCATTTTATTCACAACTGAGCCCCCAAGAAGCTACTAGCTTGCTTAGAGCAGCACAGCCAGGAATGCGGGGACTGGGCAGGACGTGGGGCTCCCGGACTCGGCTTTGTCCACGTGGGGTTTCCTTCCTCGACGGTGCTTCCCCAGAGGCGAGAATCTGCGTCCTTCGTGCCTTACACTGTGCCGTTGAGCTGACTCGCCAAGCGCTAAATGCAGTTGCAACAGGAAATAGAGTAACTGACAGGAAACTGCCCCTGGGCGGCCGGTGGGGCCAGAGGGAGGCCCGTCTTTGCGGGGTCCTCCCTGCCTCATGCAGCACGCCCTGAGGAGCTGCAGGACTGATGCGACCACGAGGGAGGTGTCTGTCCATCACTCGGGAGAAATGAAGCTTTTCCTTCAACTTTCCCGCCTGGACTTGTGCAAGGGGACAGCTAAGAGCTCACCAGCGTTCTTGTGTTTCTGTAACGTGCTGTGGTTGAATCAAAACCCCCAACTCTCGGGCTCAGTCAGTCTCGCCTTTGTGCTAACGCGAAATCCCAGGCGTGTGGCCGAGTGGTGGACAGAGCTGCTCGGCCTGGGCCGCTGCGGAGTCCTCAGCACACAGCTCCCAGGACCCCTCCCGAGCGGACGGCGCACTCGCTTGGGCCACGCTGGAAGTGCCACGGCCACGCTGCTTGGGAGCCTGAGTGACATGGTCAAGCCATGTACCGGGGGAGAGGAAATGGCCTGGTGGCAGGGAGCAGCCCCTGTCCACCCCCAGAGGGCTCCCAGGTAGTGGCAGGGTCCCCGTGGCAGGGCCCCCGGCCCGGGCTCCTTCACAGGAGCAGCCCTGCCCCCTCAGACTGAGCTAGCGGGGCAGCCGATGGCCCAGGGGTGCGTGTGCTTAGGGGATGTCCCCCCACCGATGGTGAGTTTCTTCAAAGCCGCCAGAGTCCCACTCATCTCCCGCACCGCCCCTGACTCAGTGCCTGGCCAGAGTGGCTCAGCTCCTTTGAATTAAGTCGATCCCAAATGAATGACAAATGTTGATCCACGTTACCTGAACTTCACATCCTTGACGTCCCACCACTGTGCCGACAAGAGGGCACACCGGAGTCTCTGTGCCCACGAG